TTATTTCACCATAAGGAGAGGTGAATGCAATTTGTCTCCTTGTTTGTCTGTAAATTTGGCAGACTGCAGAAGGGAGGCAAAAGTTCTCTCTCAAAACAACGTCGGGCTTTGCATACCGTAAAACCTACCCGTGAGACTGCGCGCACACCTGAGACGAGGGGGGAAGGAAGGGAGGGAAGCAGGCAGGCAGGCAGGCATGGAGGGAGGGAGGGAGGGAGGGTTACTGTCCCACTTCCCCTATTCCCTTGGCGATACTTTCCCCAATGATCTTATATACGAAATAGAATAGACAGTCGGGAAATTGAGGTGGGAGATAATGGATGTAGCCCGGTTCGGTGGCTTGCTTCAAACGATAATATCTATGAAATGTGGGTGGAGAATCGGCGTTGCAAACACACGTCACACAGGGGAGGAGTCATTTGGCTTTCAGCATACAACAAACCCTACAACAACAGAGGAGAAAATCAAACGCGATGGACTGTCAAATTTGCGTTTAACGAGTACATTAGCCAACAGGATGGAAAATGTCGGCACTGGGGAAGGGGCTGACTATGAACAATCATCCAGTTCCAAGCAATCCGCAGGGAAAACTAATCGCCTTAATGGGAAAGGAAAGGATCTCCACAAAATCTGCTCCACATTTGGAAGTCTAAATTTTTTTAAAAAAAAAAGGCATTGGATTGACTGGTGGGAGGACGGAGCGACAAAAAGAAATCGAATCTTCGCCCCAATGGGAGGCAAAAAACAGCTCTTTGCTCGATTAACCAATGCAAGGGGAAAGTGGAAAAGGTCAAGAGGGACAACCGGGTGAATGTGGTGGATGAAGGGACAGGTGATCGGACCGATGAACTCCCCTAGGTTCGCCAATAAGAACAAATCAAGGAGGACAAACTTACTCAAATAATGATGCAAACGACGAGATTGTCACGTTGGTAGATTGTGTGGGCAGAAGGGACGACGGAGTAGACTTAAAAGTTGGCAAAAACATCTCTTTTCATTGTAATGGAGTGTGTTCAAAGTACCCCATTGTTTGTGAGGGTGGAGGCCAATTGAAACCACCGGCATGACTTACGCCTCCTGGATTTTCAGCACTTGTAGGGGCGCCCGATGGTTGTCCTCTTGACCAATTTGTTGATCCACCCAATTCAGCCATCGACATTTTTCCACCATCCAACAATGCCTGCTGCTGTTGCTGTGTGCCTTTTATACCTGAAAAAGCCCCACGATTCTGCATTTGTCGATTTCCTTGACCTGCTGCAGTCTGTTGAATCCCTTGAGGTGCTGGAAGTGGCTGTGGCGGCGGAGGTGTGCACCTGCATAACCTCGCAAAAAAGACATGCCACGAATGAAGGGTCTTGGAGCTCCACACCCAGATGCCACTGGTTATTCCCACAATCAGGGTCATGAGGTACTTAATCATAAAGAGTTCGAACGTCGGTGTGTCCATTTTATCGAACACATCACCACCTGAAGTGGAGGAAAGTGGTTCTGTATCGCCTAGAATCTGATGCAACTGTTTAATGCACTTGGAGGAGCCTGCAATCTTCCTCAGGTCAAAATTTCGACACACTTCGTTGGTATACCAAGTCAACATCCATCTATCCATTTTCTGCGACTCATAGATGTAACAGGCGATAACAACAGCAGCAGGAAGAAGGTAGAGTAGGCTGAACACCCCAATTCGGAAGATTAGCTTCTCCAAATCGTTAGTCTTAGATCCTCCCGTCTTAATGATAGTTCGAATTTTGAACAGTGAGACGAATCCAGCGATGAGGAAGCAAGCTCCCAAGAGAAGGGAGATGCAGAGCGGAGCGACAAGGAAGTATCGCACAATGATTGGATCTGTTAAACCTGTGAAACAGACCCCAGAAAGAGGATCGCCATCAACTTTGCCCATAGCGAGAAGGCAGATAGTCATAGCAGCAGGAATGGCCCACGCAGCAAAGTGAAGGTACTGAGCATTTCGAAAGATAGCCTCGTGAGCCCAGTGGCAACGAGCTGCGAGATACCAGGTGACGGTTAAAACAACCCACCAAATATGTCCAGCCATGGAAAAGAAGTAGAGCATCATGAAGAGGATAGTGCAGCCCTCGAACTTGGTGCCCTGGGTAATGAGAAGCGGATAGGAGGAGGAAGAGAGAGGTTTGGAGGTCAGGCTGGAGGCTGAGTCATAGCTGGCAGGTGGGAAGGGCCCAGAGCAAGAAATCTAAAAGGTAAAGATGATTTGATTTTCTGATCAGACAGTAATTTGCTTATTTACCAAACCATCCATTTGCCCATTGAAAAGGTATCTGCACTCGGAGACCTATTCGTGTGAAGACAATAAGTCTGTCTGGATCTAACTTGGAATGTACAAATATGATGTGGAAGTTTAGCTTCAGACTACGATGATCTCCAAACTACGACGACTGATTGTATCGCGTCAACGAGTTAGACCGACGTAAACAAATGGAAGGGGGTAAACGGGACTACATTCTCCAGCCCGTTTACAAAAGGTAGTTTTTTTAAATAATTACTACGAATGAGTCTCAACGGACTACACAAAACAGGGAGGACGCTTGGAAGGGTGGCAATATTGAACGGCCGTTGGAAGGAGTTGAATGATCAAGCAAATAAACTTTCACTAGATGCAACTACTCGGAAGAGATTGAGTTGTGAGGGAGGAGAATTGACTTACAAGATGAGGGGCAAGTTTTAAAAGCAATTAGGTTATCGGACACAACGTGACTCCGGATTTCTCGATGGAGTAAGGAACCTTCAGCCTGAACAATCATCGCTACGAAAATATAGCCTCTGAGAAGCAGAAATTTTGCCAATTCAATTTCAAAATTTCGCTAGACGTACTGGTCCCACCTTTAACGATACTTGCAGGTCAGGAAACCTATTCATCCAATCACCTCGACGCCTCATCTCACCCACTCGAACTCTGCGTTATCACCTAACACACTAAAAAATTATACAAAATATTTCGAAAAATTCTCTTTGCTCCCTTGAATCATCTAAATTCCACCTATTTGATTGGAATTCCGGCTAGATTTTATGATGTCTTCACAGATTGTGCAAACACTACTTACAGCAAACGATTGTTCAAGGGGATGATATGACAGGGGAAGCATGAAGCAAAAGCTAAATAATAAGCGAAGCCGACAGAGGAGAAAACGCCAACCTTGTCGCCCAGTGAAAGTCCAGTGATGTATGTAACGGCCACCATGAAGTAACACATGGACAGGAAGATTATTGGCCTTTCCGGGTATTGAAATCGATTGATATCAATAAAGAAGGTGAGGATGGTGAACAATGTCGATGCAGCACACAATCCACTCCACAATCCAATCCACAATCGAGAAAACTTAATCCTTTTTGATTGACTAAAGAAGTGACGACTACATGGCATCCCACAATTAGGAATGACTTGTTTGCTGTTCAGTCGAATTCGAAATTCAAAACTCGATGGAACCTAGAAACGACAACAAATTATGCAAATTAGCAGAGGGACAAACCCTCATTTCTTCCGGGCATTCTAAAGTAGCTTCAACAGTCTCTTTCGTCTCTGGCTTATCCTCCGAAACACAGAGACCATTTTCTGGAAAGTTCTCACACTGCATACTAGCAGGCCACTAAAATGAGCATGTGTTGTTATAATAATGTCAGGTACTTGAAAACTGAACGAACGCATGATGGGTTCACATCGCTGCCGATTTTGTTCGCACAAAGAACGACATGGAGGGAGGGGCTTATGCAACATAGTACAAACAGGGAAGTAGAGGGAACACAGAAAGAGTTTTAAAGAAGGACTGCAAGGTATTTTTACAAGGGAATTATATTGCGTGATGTCCTGGCCAGCCTCTTCTTGTGAAGCGTGACCCATGATATTGGGTAGAATGGTGGTATTGTAGGGCAAACCCTGACAAGCGGGAATGCGAATAAGTTCACATTTCGAGGATTCAGCGTAAGGGTTCTCGGGTCCCCGCTGTATGTCTACAGAAACGGAGAAATGCAGGAGAAGAGCGAGGACAAGCACCAGCGACACCATCATTGTAGCGAAGCTAGACGCAACCGAACAGACCGAAGCGTTATGCTTGAAGGGTTTTGTACGCTTAAACAAGTCGGTTAGGTCGTTAACTAATTAAGGCATTCGCGACTTTAAAGGCTCTAAACGACAAGACCTTTTGTGAATGTCAAAAAAGCGAAATAAAATAACAAAACAAGTGATTATAAAGTTGCATGGCAAATACGCACCAAAAGCGTAAATAAATGTTTCATCAAAATATTAATCGTGTTCATATGCTTTATCGCGCACAATATGACGGAAGTAAAGCAAAATGATAAGTAATTATTAATAAAAGTCAAAATGTGGTAAAGTCTTAACAATGGAGGAAATAATGCCTCATCTATTACTGCATGCATCACGATAATCTGGAAATGTTACAAGTTTTGCACAAAATTATTCCCAAGCCATTTCAGTGAGCAAGCTTGGCAGTTTTCAAAAATTAAGACCGATGGTGTCTTCTTTATTGTTGTTCGTGAAATTTATTAAGGTTTAAATGAACCGTGACTACACAAGATGAATGTATGTTCCTGCGAATCATTGCTGCCTACCACGGAATTGATATAGTTGCACTTTTTTTGCAATTCAAGGTGAATAGTTGTAGCATCTCAAGGCTTTCCACCAGGTTAAAGAAAGCATTAAGTGGAGCTGAATACGTGTATTCGAAGGAGATAAGCGCGATTAGGTCTGAGATTGGCTCAATGTCCGTCTTGAGCGTACATTAGCCGAGCAAATCCTAAAGCAACCGTCTGACAAAGTTTTATAACGGCTGTTTACCAGCGCTGTCCTAAACACCTATTTGGGGTATATCTGCATTCGTGCGTCGGCTGTTTAGCTTTAGCACCCTTGACGACCAAACCACTTCCAGCCCAAAATAACAGACTAGACTATTCTTTTTTGAAACTCCGGCATTCGATAGGGGCTGAGCACTTAGATACATAGGCTAATTGTCGTTAACCCTTGCCACGAAGCCTGTGTAGGTTACGCACCATAAATTAGCTCTTGTCTTCACCCTTTATAGCGCAGCCCTTCTGCTACTATCAACTTCTTATTAATTAACAAGAGATTATATTCTCTTCGTCTTAAGTTTTAGTAATGCTATCGTTTGGCGTTTAAAATTTAAATTTGTGCATGCATGGTTTTTTGTTTATCAAGCCACTGACCCTAGCAGTTTTTCAAAAACGCTATGATACTGAGTGGGTTTGTGTTTCGGATTCTATAGTATGTCATCTTACCCGAAAAGCTGTGAAAATTCTGCTAAGTATGCACAGAATATGTACTGCAAATGCAAAATTTACAACCAAGAATGTAAGTGGAGCTCCGTTTTCCATTTCGAATTAATCGTATAGTGTCCCCATCTCGGCGTGGAGTTGGCGCGAGTGACTACGCCAAAGACGTAAAGATGTGTCACTGCATTAAGGATTTGCCGTATCCTCGTGCATTTCCTGTGAAATGTTGTAACCCCGTTGTAAAAAGGACAAAAATAAAGGAAAAGTTCAAGGATGGTGAATTACAGCGCCAGACAGAAGAGAGATATATCGCCAAATATTGTTCAAGCAAGAGAGAATGCGTTGAATTGAGATATCCTCCCAAAAGGCTTCCCAGATCTTCTACTCTTCCCAAGTATCTTCGAACTGATGACTGTAACTCGGAGGATTGTGATCCTCCCGTAACCTACTATCAACCCGCAGGACGAAAGTATTTTCACTGACAATTTAACACACTTTCGCTATTTTCTTGTGAGATCAAAACTGTGATGCTTGCAACTTAGGACTATTCACAGTCAACATTTTCACTTTTACTTTATCAATTTAAAAGTATTTTAGACCTTAGATGCACTTTGCTTGTTAGTAAAGGGAAAGGTACATACAATTTTGAAAATATTCATTATCATCTCGATATTGCCTTTTTGAAACACGTTGTTCTTATCTACTCACATGTTTGATCTCCATGGGTTGAATTGCAGTGAAGGGACTGGCACTTCGTGGGCAATTTAAGGCGATATATTGCAGTTGACAAACTTAATTAGCGATAAAATGACATGGTGATTATTCACGTTCATTGATTGTGGGTATGGCTTTTATTGAGAGAGTGAGTGTCAAATTGTAGCCTATTACCCTCGTCCTTTCGTATCCCTTTATTGCGTGAATGTTGGATTGTGACAAAAAAAATCAACTTTAAGTGAACAAGGCCGGATTTTTCCCTTCAAGCACAACCACTCATGCATAAAATGGTTTACAGAAGGATCTCTTGACAACCTTACTGCTTAGTTCAGCTGTGAAGTTATAGTAGTGGCAGGAGTTGGCTCTATTCGGTATTGGTTCACCCCTTGAGACTACCCACAGACTTGTCTAGGGCGAATTTTGCGATTGACGGATTCAAGTTGGTGACAGTTCAACACCAAATCTCATTGTTTTTTAAATTTTAGGTGAACTTGGGTGAACACAAATGTCAAATATTTTGCATAAATATTGTCATAAATAAATAGTATTTTCTCTTGGTCTCTTTTCAGTTCTTTTGGAAGTGGTTAGCAAGTAGCGTCTGCTCCTGTTCACAGGAACGGTTTTAGTTGACAAATTCAGATAAATGAGGGGCAACCATGGAATGCCTCCCTATCACCTGTCATTAAAGTGCTGACAAGTTGGAGTAGTGGTTGAAATTGGGGGGGGG